CTACCAAGGGCAGGTCCAAAGCCTTTAGCACCTGCAGCTCCCACATAATTGCGGTTTCTCTCTTCTTTGGGTCAGGGGCATTTATGTACCTCAAACCATCCTCTCTTTTACCTATGAATCAGGGGAAAGTGTCCTCCTTGTTCTACACCATTGTTGTGCCCATGCTCAACCCGCTAATCTATAGCTTGAGGAATAAGGATGTCAAAGTTGCTCTGAAGAAAACATTGAGCAAAAAACCATTCTCTTGAGAAAGGGGTAATACTTAGGAAAGGGCCTTTTCCCCTTCCTTATATGATTCAGGTTCCATTGGTTACTTGGAAATTTTAACTCTTTCTCAAAGAAGTTCATCCTTACCATTTTATGCATCCTTTAATTTAAGAAGATTCTTAAAACTACAGGGTACTCACATTTAGTGGACCATAAGGATCATTTAATCAGTTCTCTCATATTTCTGAGAATAGATACAGGTTTATGTACCTTCTCCAAAGTCACTCAGTTATTCAGCAGCACAATTGTGACTAGGATATAGGCTTTGATTTCTTTTCTTTTTTTTTTAAATTTAAGTTCAATTAGCCAACATATAGTACATCATTAGTTTTTGATGTAGTGTTCAATGATTCATTAGTTGTGCATAACACCCAGTGCTCATCAGTAGGCTTTTGATTTCTAATACTAGTTGCTTTCCACTATGGTTCACTTTCTTCCTTCATCAGCACTGGAAGATTTCATTTCAAATGTGAACTGATCTAGGATGTTAAGATCTGGTTCTTTCTACAAAAATTTCATGCAACTTTTCAAGGGCTAATTTTAAATACCACATTTTTGCAAAGAAGGTAGGAGGTATAAAACTTTGTTGAGATGGTCTTGGCTAAATGACCAAATTCTTGAAGAATTTTTCAGAGTACTTGGGGGAAGTATGCTAGGACCCAGACAGCAGCAAGAATGGTACCTCCTAAGACAGCAGGGTGGAGCTTCATGGACTTGGACTTTAAAGGATTTGGTCATGCTGGCTGGACGACCTTATAGAAAATGTCAAGGTTATGAAGTACAGGATTTGGGAATTTTTTTCTACACAATCATTTCCTTGTTTCAAATTGTGCTTTTAAAACCTGAGTGGAGAAGTGTGAAGCTCAGGGGTCAGCTAAAAATCTGGAGAATATTTCAGAACCATAGAGGGGTCATTGTGTTACAAGCCAGTAATTAGGTTAGTACCACACAGCAGCCAGTCAGCAGAGAAAATGACCACTGACTGTTAATGGTACTGTATGTGACAGAGACTATGTGAGGTATTCTCTGTGTGCCTTTCTAGATCAACTCTCTGTTTCTTTGTACCTTACTTCAAGTTCAATGGATCTTGTCAATGGGCTCCCTGACCCTCTGGTTTCTTCTGGTTGGGTGAAGCCAATGGCAGCATCAAGAGAGGAAATCAGAGGACAAGTGGAGCACAATATTGTGATATTTATTTCCCTGATTTCCTTCCAGTGGGCTACAGTAACTGCTCAGCGGGGAGCCTGCTTCTCCCTCTCCCTCTGCCGTGCCATTTGCCGCTCCCCCTGCTTGTGCTCTCTCTCTCTCAAATAAATAAATGAATAAAATCTTTAAAAAAATACTCAGTGAAAGGAAGTCTTCCTTTACTCAATTTTCTGGTCCTTCTCTACCCTCTCCAGGGTCTGCCACTGTTGCTTGTTGGTTATATGTTTTAAGACAGTCTTTCTATGCACAGTATTTGTGTTAGCCAAGATGCAACAGTGAGTTCCTCAGGTCAGAGGGCTGAAAGCTATCAGCAGAAGTGGGGAGGTGGAAGGGACAAAGGGACAAAAGCAGGGAAGGAATATGATTTGTTTTGCAGAACCAGCAGTTCCTGACAAGGAAATGCCAGGCTAGGTGTTTCCTCTGATAGCATAGGCCAGTCTGAGCTGGTTTGGAGCTGAGGACCCATGCAGAAGCCCCCCCAAGTTGTCCTGAAGTTACCTTTAACTCATTATAATACTAAGATCTCTTATGGGCAGAGTTTTCCACTGTATTTTGAACATATGATGTATGCACTAGCATGCTGACACGCCAGGCAAGTGCAGTTGAACCAAAGCGCCTAAGTAATGGAATATGTATTAAGTTCCTTACTGTATATGCAAGATCTGTGTCCCTGCCCCCTAATCCACTGAATAAAAGCTTCCTGTACTAACCCCACAGGAAGACAGTGCTTTGAGAGCTATCTTCCTGTCCCCTTACTTGTAACAAGTAATAAAAAGTTCTTTGCTTTCAACACTTCCTTGAATTGTGTTCAATTCAGTGCACCCCAAGTGGTGAACCTCTTGAGTTCGGTTACACCTGCACATATGTACACAATCTTGTCCTTGTTTTCAGTCTATGAGCAGCTGCTTTAAAACATATCTACCAATGAAATCTAATTCGCAAAGGAGGGAATGAGGGGTTGTTACTGGATAAATAAATGAATAAAAAAGCAGGAAAGATGTATATGAAGGGTTGTGGGTAGCCAAAAAGAGGTAGAGAGAAAGACATGCTGTGAAAACAAGGGAGTGTTGGCTCGTTACATAAGTGTGTATCCAAGACACAGCTCACAGAATTTGTTTTTACTGATCTCTTGCTTCCAACTCGATTTTTATGATTGCATAAAATTCTAGTATATGGATGTATTATATCTCATTAACAATTTTCTACTACTGTATGTTATTTTTGTTTTCCCAAATTATAAACAATGATTAACAGACTTATTCAATAAGTCTTTGAGTTTTCCCCTAATTAGGATATATTTTTAGACAGGGAATTACTGAATGACATAAGATTATTGAATATTATTCCAAAATTCCTTCTTTAAAGTTTATCTCAATTTATACTCTCACTAGCAGTATAAACATACTCAGATGGCCTACTCTTGGCCAGATTCTGTACTAATAAGGGTGTCACTCATAAAAACTGATTACCTTTAATTTTGATAGTGGTGGTGTTTGTATTACTGTCTTCTTTTATATCTTTTATTCCTTTTTACTTCATAAACTACTTGTGGTATCTGAATGGATAAAGAAGAGAAAAGCAGGAGCAAAATTGAGAATGTCTTCTTCTGCCTTCTTTTTCTTTCTTACATATTTCCTGTAGGGGAGGGAAATAATTTTCCCTCTATCCTTCTAGATTGTTGGCTGAGACTCCCCTGTGATAAAAGACTGATTAACAGAAGACAAAACAAACAGAACTTTAATAACATGTATACCTCCTATATACATGGGAGATACTCAGGAAAAATGGCCCAAGCCACCACCTTAAATACCATCTCCAGCTAAAGACAAAAGAAGACGTTGTGGGGGAGGGTTATCACTTATGGTAATCAGGCAAAGCCCAGTAAACGAAGGTATGGTTGTTATGCAGATTTAAGTTGCTACTTTCTCCATTGATAACAGTTTCTAGAGATTTAGTCATTCCCCTCTTCTTGGTACAGAGGGGGAGACACCCTTACAAATGGAAATTTCCCTTATACATATAAATTTCCCTCACAAAGAGGCAACCTCTGCCCAGTTTCCAGAGTTTGTTCTATGTCTTTGTTTTCTTAAAAATAATCAGATTAAGATAATCCTTATGCCAAAGAGACATATTTTGGAGTGGCAAATTCTGCTCTACTTCATCCCTTTGTTTCTTAAATGGCTTTTTCTTGGCTTCATCATAACTCCGGTTATCTTTTTGATCCAAGGAAAGGAAGATACTCTGGAGCTTTCCCTTTGGGATAATCTATTGTGAGGTGTCTTTCTGGAGTATCTTTCTCCCACCTCTCTTCTCTTTCAGTGCTCCTGCTCTTTGTTCTCATAGTACACTGCTCTTAACCCATTAAGTGTTGGTCAAAATGTAGGGCCACTGCTCATTTACTTTTCTGTATACACTTACACTATACATCAGACTGTAAGTTCTGTGCGAGCAGGGTCCCTGGTGTCCATTTTGATATATCCTCCACATTTAGTGGCTGTAGCAGAACCAGACTCTACATTAGATTTGTAAATCCCAACTTTCCACTCCTTTTTATGGTCAAGTATAGTGTTGTATAAAATGGTTGACTTAAGCAAACTTTAAATCACTATTTGATTGAACACTGGCTCTGAAAGCAATTTTATAAAATACCAATAATTGTGCATTCATTCTGTACTACTCTCCATTTTCACTCATATCCCAGAGACAACATACCAAAGAAAAAACTGTACAATGAAAAAAATGAATCATTCATGTATGTAGCTCCCATCTTCCCCCAAATAACAGACTAAGCCTAAAAGATTGTGTTCAAAAGCTAAATTAGAAAAAAAGTCACCAAGACCATAGCCTGATTCTTCCTTGTTGATTTTGCAGGGCACAATAGCGCTTTCCTTTTTCTTTACTGTCACAAATGAATATATTCCATATCCTGTCAGACTTACTTCTGGAGACATTTGACAATACAGTTTTTGGAACTTTGCAAGCTCCTAGTAGTTTTACTGAGGAAAATTACTACTTTTCCCTCTGTAATTAAAGTTGTGGAGAGATACTTTGAAACTATGAAATGTCTTGTTCATTTCTTGACACACCAGTTTTAGCATCCATTGATAATTCTTGCCTGAAACAATATTACTCTGATGATTGAAAAGTGGAGATTTTCTAACTCCATGAACCCTTCATTATTGTTAGTTGGCACTTTGTCAGGAAGAACCTTTCTTTCTGTATTTATTTATTCATTCACTCATTCATCTGTTTATTCATTCATTCATCTGTTTATTCATTCATATTATTGTGGACTCATGAATTCCAATTTTATCTAATAGGTTATGATTCATTATTGTCACTGCTTATTTTGATGTCCAGTTTGTCCCTGATTTATCCAATGGGAGCCTCTTCATACTAGTTCCTATGTTCTTTTAATAATTCTCTATTAGATTTTGGGTACTTTGTTGCTTTACAGCAACAAAACAATATGTTTCAGGCTGATTTTGTACCTTCCCTGCCCCAGCATTGGTTCTATTTAGAGACAAATGGTGTTTAAACCAAAATATGAATGGTAGGTGGAATGAGCTGTACGTAGGTAATTCTGCAAGTAGGTATTTAATGAGAGAATATTCATGTTTATAAGATATTCATTTACATGTTTTTCCCTTGAGGATACCTGTGTGTACAAGTGGTAGACCTGGTCTCTGTGAATGGGCCAATGCTCTGTGTCCAAAGTCCATTAGCCCTGAGTATCATTGGTGGTCCCCTTCTCACTACTTTTTACCAACTCGCATGACAACATCCTCAGGTTCCCATCAGTGAGTGATTGGTGAGACCCCATGAAAGGAAGAAGTGGGGCCTGGAATGAGAGGGGAAAAAAGTCCTGAGACTGTACACACAATTTGGTTTTGATGCCATTCAGTCTAGCTTCCTTAAAGACAGGACTCCTTGTCCCATTTGCTTCCTTCCTTCACATTGTATCTTGCTTGCAGTGACTACCCTTCCCTTTCATCCTAACTTTCCAAACTTGCATGACTTGAGAATGAAGGTGGACAAGAGTTTCACACTCAAGAGACTCATGTTCTTCAAACCCCAATAATGATATTATGGAAACTTTATGTCCTTTGGACTTTACATACACGTTCTCATTTAATCTTCTCTACCAGTTAAGGAACTTGCGTAAAATTGTACAGATAGTAAGTGGTGGAGTAAAGAATTGAATTTAGACTGTCTGATTCTAGAGCTCATACCCTTAACACTTGCTGCCTTCCAGAGGCTCAGTTTGTGTGTAAAACAAAAAGCACATATATTCGTCTTGTGTAATGTCCAAGTTCTTGCTGCCTTTGAGCTGGGTAAGTTCATACATTCACTTTCATTTAGAAAAATTTGCCGAAAAGATATCTCAAGAGAAAGACCCTAAAGATTTTTCTCCTTATTTATTGCATTGAACTAATAGGGTCAGTAATATAAATAAGTGCGGGACCTGCTGAACTCCTGTAATATGGATTGTGCAGTAATATATTTAGAAAATATTTATTTGAGGTTATATTCTAAACCTCAACCTGGTGATCTAACACATGCAGAGACTTTAATGCTTGGCAGATATAGAAAGTGCTAAATAAATGTTGAATAAATCCCTAGTGAGACCTTAAAATATTAAATTATGCAGTGTCAGAGGGAGAGGAAGAGAGAGTTCCAAGCAGACTCTGCTGAGCACAGAGCCCTACATGGGGCTTGATCTCATGACCCTGAAATCATGAACTGAGCTGAAACCAAGTCAATTGCCTAACCAACTGAGCCACCCAGGTGCCCCTGCAATGTTTTGTTGTTAATTTAATTTTAAAAATAATTTTTCTTAAATTTGCAAAAGTAATGCTCAAGAACTATAGGAGTATTTAAGGTAGAGATAAGCAAAAGATAAAAAAAAAAAATCCATGATTCTACTACCTAGAGAAAACTAGTGTTAAGATTTTAGTGTATATTCTTTCAGAATATTTTTGTGTGTGTGTATAGCTGTGATGACTTAGACCATTTTGCAAAAACTATATATACACACACACATACTATATATATATATATATTCTCTCTTTATATATTCTATATACTCTCTGCTGGTAACCTTATACTATATAAATATATATGTATATATACATACATAGACACAGATGTGATCATGTTAAGTACAACTTTGTGACTTTATTTTTCATTCTGTAACATATTGTAAACAGCTTTTCATGTGATTAAATTTTCATCAAAATCATTATTTTCAGTGACTATATTCATTGTATTTAAAGCTAAAAATCGGTGGAATGATGCAAAATGTTTCTGTTTGCTGTACAGAAAGACTTTGTTTCCTTCTTCCAAAGAGTTTTTTAACAGTGATATGTTCATCTGATGATCCTAAATTCCTTTTCTAAATTCTAAGAGTAGCTTTGTCTTTGATTTATTCTTAGTGTCAATTCTGCATATTCCTCCCACTACCTTAGTTCAGTTTTCCTGGTCTCCATCTTTCTCCTTCATCTTTTATCAAAAGTCCAACTCTAGACATTCTAGCCTCATTTATGCTTTATACTTCTCTTTCCCTAGGAAAGTAGTCTCTACATCCCAGGTGGATAAATAAAGAAGCAACCCTATCTCTTCCCCTTTACCATCCCCACTCTAACCCAAAAGAAAGGGATGGTTTATAGGATTGATGAGAAATTGGGAGAATGAACTTATGTGGCTCAGCGTGGCTGAGCCTATGGCCCCTAGCCCCATTTCTGGTTAGGACAGGCACATTCTCAGGATTCCTATTCATCTCTTCCATCTGTAACCTTCTCCTTCATAGGTACAAGAGAATCCAACTTTTGTCCAGCTTGGTTTAGACCTGTATTCATTAATTTAGTCTGTGATGTGCCATAGGGAATTCTAAGGTCCTACTGTACATCCAAGCTGGGTCTTTCAACTTTATCAGCAATAAAGCTGGATTTTTTTTTTCTGACTTCTGTGTCTAATTTCTCAATTTATTCTGGAACCAGAAGTGGAAGAAAGATATTATTTATTATCACCACTAACCCTTTCCAACTATCTCCCATCCCTCCCTGCTATGTATACAATAATTCAAGTCTCAATATCATTTGCCATTCCCCAAATTTGCAGTGCTTTTTTCCCTCTAATGGCCTTTTAATTTCTTTTTGTGATTCCTTTTGCTCAGAATGTCCTCCTGATTTTCTCTGCTGGTAACCTTCTACTTATACTCAAGCCTAATAGCAATGCATTTCTAAAACCATATCATAAAACAGATTGTATATTTCCATAGTAACAATGTAATAATTAGAGAACCCTTCTGAATAAAGATCTAGCACAAAATAACCTGTTAAAAAAACCAAAGATATACTTTCTAGAATACCCTATAATGATTTTTTTTTAGGGGAAAATCATTCCCAAGTTTTAAAAAGTGTGCAGAAAGCTATTCCATGTATTGATTTCATATGAAATTATCAAAAGCAATAAAGTGAAAATAGAGTCCATGAAAAACAGAACCCTATCATAACACTGCCCAATTTAAACAAATACTAGCTATTTAATCATTAATAAAAATAATCATTGTGTCATAAGCTTCCTTAGATGTTAAATATAATCCCTTTTTTTATTATTATTTTTTGCTATGGCCCACATTGCATTAAAAAAGCTGGCCAGATAATTCATGGAATACCTTTCTTTTTAGCCAGCAAAGAAGTTTATTATTCATTCTACTGAACAGTGTAATGAAGCTTATTAAAAAAGAGGAGTCATCGAAGAATTGAAAGTTTTATGAAGAATAATCTGTGGAACTGGAAATGTTTATTCATTTATCCTCAAACCATATCCGAACATTTCCATGAAAGGGGAAAAATCATTCAAAATAGAGCAAAACTTTGAGGGAGTCTGTTAGATCCCTCTAAGAAGGTGATTTTGGTAGATGTGTCTGCAGTCATCCTGGGGATAAGAGAAATTTGTGCCATAGCCTGAATGATTTCCCTGTCTCCACTCCCTGTCTACAGCTCCCTGAATGTCCAGTCCCTATTATACCAGCCACGGTTATTGACTGCAAACAGCAGGAGTTGATTCTGGTTAATTTTGGCAAAAGATGGAATTAACTGGCAAGAAATGGGGGTAATTAACAGACTCTTAGAGGAGGCTGGGGAACCAGACTTTGGAGCCAGGCAGGATCTGGGGGGAAGCCAGGTAGTGGAATCACAGCCAAGTTATACCACAGAACCATCTGGTTAGGCTGCATTGGTTGCTTCTATTGGCACTACCTATACCCAACATGTTATCAATTGGTAGTTTTACTGTCTTTGTCTTTGCCAAAATGAAATGTAAGTTGTTTCTGTTTCTTTGTGTCACTTGTCCCAGACTTAGAGTCCTGCATGGAAACATCTGACTGGCTGAGTTCAGTCTTACGTTCTTTGGGGAAGTTTCACAGAAGGAGGCTGAGTCTGGTTCCAAACAAGGCTCACATAAGGGCAGATTCCCCAAATAAAAGGAGTACTAATGCTGGACAGTTAACATTTCTAGTTAGTTATGTACAAGTATCTGTTTATTCTGGGTATCTAGGTGTATATCTAGATTATATATTTGAAGGGGCAGGAATTGTGTCTGTTTTGATTGTTGCTTTATTCTTAGAGCAAAACACAGGCCCTAGAATGGGGCAAATGCTTTCTCTATATCTATTGGACCTTCTCTATTTCTACATTTCTTTTTTATTTATTTATTTATTTATTTATTTTTAAAAGATTTTATTTATTTATTTGAGAGAATGAGAGAGAGCAAGCACATGAGAGGGGGGAGGGTCAGAGGGAGAAGCAGACTCCCTGCCGAGCAGGGAGCGCGATGCGGGACTCGATCCCGGGACTCAAGGATCATGGCCTGAGCCGAAGGCAGTCGCTTAACCAACTGAGCCACCCAGGCGCCCTATTTCTACATTTCTTAAGTTATATCTCTAATTCATAGTTTTTTTCCTATGGCTGATGCTGACTTCTGGATAATTTCTTTAGATCTACCCTCCAGTTTACCTATTATCTCTTCACCTGTGTGTGATAGGCTGTCTAACACATTCATATTTGATTCTTTTAAAAATCTGCCCTGTCAATTTTGATGGGGTCTTCATTACACTTTCAATTGCTCTTTTTCTTTTTTTTTTTTAACACATGAAATAAATGATTTTTTATTCTGTCCCTGATAAGCCTAATAATTTTGCAGATCTGGTCCTGTAACTTGTGGTTTATCATTAATGATGATTTTCATTTCTGGTGGCTTATTTTGTGTTTGGTTCGTGTTTTTCATTAAGAGTTCATGATCCCCAGATAGTTATCTGGGGAAATTCTTTGATATCTGGAGCTAACTTGTATTTTCCGGAGAGGATATTTTTTTTTGTTATATTTGTAATATGATTTTTTTTTTTTTTTGCTTGAAATGCAGAGGTTGTTAGAAGTTCTCAGGGGATATTTTAGCTCTTTCTCTTCCCAGAGCCAAGGACAACTTAGACACATATCTTTGCCTTCTTCCTATGTGGGGTTTTTTTTTTTTTAATATCTCTAATTTAGCCATGGAAGATGTTTCCTTTTGGAGATCCAGTATTACAAGTTAATAATGGTTCCAAACTCCCAGGCTTCTAAGGTTTAGTCACGAAAGGATTTATCCCAGGATTTATCTCTTATGTTCTGCATAGGCAACTCAATTAAAACCCAACTCTGGGCTATAGGGAGTCTACTAGTTCCCCAAGGGTAAACTCCAGGTCCAGGGCTGTGTATCCCTCTGAATTATTACTTTATCTTTTATCTTTTGCTCTCACAGGAATTCACTTAGTTTCTGCCACCTCAAACATTAATAGATAAATGATTTTTATATTTTACCCAGAATTCTTAGTTTTGTTCTATCAGGGGAGATTTGTCTGAGTCTAAAGTTTGCAAGAGTGTTGGAAATAGCTGGCCTTAATACTTACTGGATGTTAAATAAATGAGTAAGTTGATTTCTACTCTAATGAACAGAGATAATTCTTAGTCTTTCATTGCTGGGCCATTGCCACACATCTGCTAAACTGTTATTCAAGAGGGGGAAATACAGTGAATATGAAATTATACTAAAAAGAAATACCTATTTTCTTCATAAAAATAAACAAGAAACATCTAATATGGAAACAAAAGGAGATTTTCTGAGGAGTAAGGGGGAACTGGACTAAGTAATTCAAACCTGTACTAAAAATTCCCTGGGCCATTTCCCTTGAGTATTTTCCCCTGATGTCTATCAACTAACATACAGGTCCTAGAGGGCTTCTACACCCCCTTAATATTGGGTAAATGACCATAAACTTGCTGTCTTGTAGTATATCTTGAGACAAGGCCGGGGGGTTGCAATATAACTGTCTTGAAGGCTAGAGGATGACAAAAGAGAAATAAGAGTGGAAAGGGGGGAATGGGGACAGTGAGAGAGAGAGAGAGAGAGGGAAGGAGGGAGGTAAAAGCTGTACTGTTTTAGGGCTGAACCTTTGAAGTCACAAAGCATCCCTTCTGCCATGCTCTTTTGGTTGGAGAAATCCCAAATCCTTGCCTGGATGCAAGGGTAGGGAACATAGATCCCATCTCTTTATTTGAGGAGTGTCAGTCCTACTGTACCAAGAACATGTGGGATGCCAGATGTGTGTGTGTGTGTGTGCGTGCGCGCATGTGCATACAGAGGTATGGCCATCTTTGGAAAAAATAAAACAATCTTCCATATACATGCGCATTGTATAGCTGTTATAAATAAAATATTACATCAGAAAACATCCAACATAATGGCATAATGCCAGGCACCCTATAGTTGCTCCATATACATTAATTATTTTACCGCTTGATTTTCTCCCTTTATATAAGAAATAAAGGGAGTTTTATTCTAAGAGACACAGATGAATGAAAAATAAAAATGATGTGTTTTTTTTTTTTTTTGCGTGTGCTACCATACTGAGTTGTTAGGTCAATAAATTCCCATTTTACAAATTAGGGAATTATGGCTCAAAGATTCTTAGTAATTTTAGTGTTGAAGTAGTTTGTCAGGATTATTTATTAAAATATTGCTTTTGTTCTCAATTTGTTTTAACATTTAAGTGTAACATAAGGATATCGCGTGATAAATTTTTACAAATTGAACACATCCATGTAATCAGCACCCCTATCAGAAACAGAACATTGTCAACAACCCTGAAGCATCCTTCATATCCCTTTCCAGTCAATAGCCTCTGACAGACCAAGTATGAATAACTGCTATCTGACTTCTAACACCACAGATTAGCTTCCTTATTTTTGAAATTCATATAAGTGGAATCATAAAGTATGTACTCTTTTGTGTTTGGCTTCTTTTGCTTCATAATAGGTTTGTGATCTTTATGCTATTAACTTTCATGGCTATATGGAATTCTATTTTATTAATATCAATTTATTATCCAGTCTATAGTTGATTGACATATGGGTTGTTTTCAGTTCTTGGTTATTATGTATAATGGTGCTATGAAACTTCTTGTCTTTTTTATTTATTTTTTAAAAGATTTTATTTATTTGACAGAGAGAGACACAGTGAGAGAGTGAATACAAGCATGGGGAGTGGGAGAGGGAGAAGCAGGCTTCCCACGGAGCAGGGAGCCCGATGCGGGGCTTGATCCAAGGACCCTGGGATCATGACCTGAGCTGAAGGCAGACGCTTAACAACTGAGCCACCCAGGCGCCCCCACTTCTTGTCTTTAGATAGCATGTGTACTTATTTTATTGGGTATGCACCTAGGAGTAGAATTGACATATGTATATGTCCAAATTTGTTAAATATTACTAATCAATTTATTGTACCATAAACAATGATATTCAACAATGTTGAATTGTACCAATGTTTAATCCTTGTACCTACATAATTCTTCTCCCTCTATTCCCATTCCACCTATGTTACACAGGTAGCTAGGGTTTGTATTTCTTTGCTTTAGAGTTTTTGGCTAGGTATAAATCAGAAACAGCTTGCAGCAAGTGCCCTTCCCATTTTTGAAAATAAGTCTACTGAAGATATAATATTGGTTGGTCAGGAGGAGTAGGTTCAGTTAAGGAGAACTTTGAGGGCAAGGAGGGTAAAAGACAGAGAGATACTCCCTCAGTCAGAATGGGGATGGAGGTCAGTGGGTCTAGGAGAAGTAGGGACCAGAGGACCTGAATAGCTGCTTATGCTCTTTTCAGTAGGGTGACCATATAATTTCTTATCCAAATCCAGACATTTTTGAGAGTGAGAGAGTGTGCTATTAATAATTATACAGGGATAATAGATGTAAATCAGAACTATTCCAGAAAAACTGGGATTATTTTAGGCAGCCTCAGTTAACTTACAAATGCAGTTGCTTACATGCCTTTGAATGTTTCTTAGAATATTCATTTAGCAGATCATATGGAGAGCAGCTTTATCATCTGGAGAATGACAGGATTAAAACATTTAGGTACATCTCCTATTACATCTCGGCCGGCACACATCCATAGAGTAACTTTATGCAGGTGTATGTGTGTGCTTCCTTGCATATGTGTTGTTATATTTTAATCTCCTTATATATAGCAAAGGCGTGTCTGTGGCCCTTAATAGAGCTGAGGGTAGGTGGTGTTTGTGGTGGTGATGGTGTGGTGTCTCCACTGTTCTGAGCAGCTCAGGCTGTTAGAAACATTTTGTCTGAGGTGCTCTCTACATAGCAAAACTCCCTTGGAATATTTGGAAATGGTGGCTAAAATAAGTTTTAGGCCATTTTCCTTTAAAGTCAAGCTTAAGTGCCAAGAGTTAATGGAGAAGAAAAATGAGCCCCACACTCAGCAGTGAATGACATGAAATCCCTGGAGTAATAGGGAAGTTTGAGTAGAACACCTGAGTCCCAAGATGCTAGGTAATCCAGACTATAAACAAAGATGGTGCAATTCCTTCCTTATAGAAACAAATCTCTGAGAAATTCCAGGGGAACTGTGTCTAAGCAGACCCCTGAGATCATCAAGTAGCATAAACTTCTCTGTGATATGCCAGCTGAGGTTCTGGTAAAAATGAGAGTTGCTATTTTTTTTTTTCTCCTGAAGTTGGTGTAGACCATCTGGGAAAATCCACAAACAGAAATCTTAGTCTATTCCCAGAGCACCTTGGTGACTGGGGTCTGTAAAAGGTCTGATTCTCAGCACGGAGGGAATCAGAATAGTTAAACACTAGAGGCTGCCTGCTTTATGCATGAACACCATTTTCTCCTTTGGGCTAATGGAAAATAAGATTGCATAAGGTCCAGCACTGAGGGGGGACAGGGAGAAGGAAAGTAAATGTCTGAATCCCATCTTCCCTGATGGCTTTCTTTTAAACCCACAACCAAGACATCTAGAATATATTGATCCCTTCCCTGCTCTCAACACTGACTTAAATGTGAGATGGAGTGAGGGGCTTAGAGGAAGAAGGTAGGGTGTGTAGAGACAGTAGGGGACACTCTTGGCTTTCTCTCCAGAGTGGGAGAGGGAGGCAGAGAATGGGTGGAGACAATGGGGGACGTGAGAGCTCCTTTCTCTCAGAGCCTAAGCCTGTGGGCTCAGGTTGTATTCCTGGCTCTTGGGGTGTCCTTCTGATAGTTCTTGGACAATTAATGCAGGTATTTCACCTCCTCACCTCTCAAGAGGGACAGAATTCTTGTGCCCAAGAACACACTCTAGCCCAGGGGAGCTGAGATATAGTCACAGGAACATTGTCAACAACTTGACTAGGGGAGGGGGCATAGATGAGAAAAGAGAGTGAAAAGGTAGGACATCCATGCACTGGCTCATATTCTAGAGCCTTCTTCCATCAGTCATGCTTGTGCCTATTATCAATCTATGTATTTTATCACTTGTTTCTACAGAGAGCTCCCTGGAAGAGAATGACTGAGAAACAACTCTTCAGTGACTGAGTTTATCCTAGTGGCATTATCAGAACAACCAGAGCTCCAGCTACCCCTCTTCCTCCTGTTCTTAGGGATCTATGTGTTTACTGTGGTGGGCAACTTGGGCTTGATCACCTTAATTGGGCTGCATTCTAGCCTTCACACTCCAATGTACTTTTTCCTCTTCAACTTGTCTTTTATAGATCTCTGTTACGCCTGTGTGTTTACCCCCAAAATGCTGAATGATTTTGTGTCAGAAAATGTAATCTCTTATGTGGGATGTATGACTCAACTATTTTTCTTTTGTTTCTTTGTCAATTCTGAATGCTATGTGTTGGTATCAACGGCCTATGATCGCTATGTGGCTATCTGCCACCCTCTGATGTACACGGTCACCATGTCCCCTCAGGTCTGTTCTCTGTTGATGTTTGGTTCATATGTGATAGGGTTTGCTGGAGCCATAGCCCACACTGGAAGCATGTTGAGACTGACCTTCTGTAATTCCAACATCATCCACCATTATCTGTGTGAAGTTCTCCCTCTCTTGCAGCTCTCCTGCACCAGCACCCATGTCAATGAGCTGGTATTTTTTATTGTTGTGGGAGTTGTCATTTCAATATCTAGTATCAGCATCTTCATTTCTTATGCCTTGGTTCTCTCTAATATCTTCCATATTCCTTCTGCTGAGGGCAGGTCCAAAGCCTTTAGCACATGTGGCTCCCACATAATTGCTGTTGCTTTGTTTTTTGGATCAGGGGCATTTACCTATTTAACAACCTCTTTTCCTGGATCTATGGACCAGGATAAATTTGCTTCAGTCTTTTAAACCAACGTGGTTCCCATGCTTAACCCTTTGATCTACAGCTTGAGGAATAAGGATGTGAAATTCGCCCTGGGTAAAACCCTGAGAAGAGTGCTCTTCTGATGGTTCTGTTGGTATCACTTAATTACTGGTAAGCATCATACTCAAGTATCTTTTTATTTACAGGTGCAGAACTTTCCATCTTTTTTCTCAAGTAGGGGCTTCTCTCCACTTTACAAATTGGAAGTCTCTTGCTTATACTCTTCTTGAGGATTATACCATTTTGTACTACTTAAATTGGTCCATTGCATGCAATTTAACATCTATTAAGTGTCCACTGTGTACTAGACTCTATACTATGCCCAAGAGATGAGTAATATGAGGCTCCAGGCCTTCCATCCTTTCCTTGGTAGGCTAAATGGGTTTGTCCAAGCAACATTTCTGGCTGGGAGAGGGAGCAAGTAATGCTAAAGAGGGTCCAAGAGAGTGAATTTGTTTTCTTCAGTTATGGGAACAGCTTTACCAAAGACCAAATGTAGATACCTTGGTGCCATAGGTAAGATAGTCTCCCAGCTTCTTGAGAGAGATCATAAATCATCTCATATACATACATGTACACATAAGAGAAGGCCTTGCACAAGAATTCTTTACATGGTTTGAAATGTAAAGATAAATCAAAACTAAAATCTTTCATTTCCAAGTTTCAGAACTCTTAGGGCTTGGAATGTAACCATGGCGTAGGCGGTTTTGTAATTGGGCCAATTTCTTGGTCTCTGTATGCTAAGACTGAAAACAAGAACAAAGGAGAAATTCCATGGATTTATGTGATTATGTCAATTGCTACCTCTATCCTGCCCTGAAGATGCTGTGTACATTATGGGGCATTTAGGAAAATTCTTTTATTCTTTAAAGTAGGTTTAGATTTTATTGTCTCTAGGAATATGTGTATGTAGGTGTGTATGTGTGTGTGTGTATTACAGTTAAGTATTAGAGAATCAGGAAGAAAGAGGAGTCATATTACACTTTTTACTTGCAGGGAAACTTGGAAGTGATCCAGATTTTGAGTGCCAGAGTCCACTCTGTACTACTCTGTTGAAGATTCTGCTATTCTATATCTAATAGTTCAGATTTCAAGGAATACACCCTCATAAACTGCCCTGAGTGTAGGCAGGAAGGTAAATCTCAGGCCAGACCAACCCATGTGCAGAGATGGGAGGATGGAGACTCAGTGTGGCCAGAATAATGGGGCTGAGTAAGGGCTAGAACTTGGGGTGTCTTTGAGAAGACTCTCTGTGAAGAATATTTGGTACTTTTCTTCTGGATATGGCAAGAGTCATATAAAGTACTGAGTTGATGTACTTTGCTTTGCTTATATTCTCCACTCTTCCATAAAATCAGATAGTTGTACAATGTGTGTTGGTATGAGAAACAAGGCAGCAAAGAGCAATTAATTCTTCACATTTACCTCTCCGCTGACACTCATGTGGAAGCAGCAGCATCATACTGAGAAGAAAGGTAGCTCAAGTGTTCCACATCTTGGCCAGAAGAAAGACATACTGAGATGGAGCTGAGAGCAGAATAAAGAAGCACTGCAGCATGGAACTAACTAAAGAGGAGACATAAGACAAATCTATTTTCTTCAAATATGCTAAAGAGAGGAGATCTTGAAACAAGGTGGAAAAATCCAATAGATACTTGGATTATACCTAGATTATGATAATCATATGTAACATTTACTGAGTATAAACCATATGTTTGGGTACTTCTGAGGCCTTACATACATTAAACTCACTGGAATTGTGTTAATGCCATACTCAACAACTGCTTGTCGGTCCTTTGGGCTTAGCTAACTTCTACCCTCTAGAGGACTGTCTGTGTCTATGTATGTGGGGATCTTGGGATATTAGGAAAGAATCAAGAATAGGGAAAGATAACAGAAGTATACTATGATACAGACAAAGAAAAAATTACCATTGGCATAAATGAGTAGGAACAAGGAATAAATCAGAACCGTAAGGATATGAATGAAAAGGAATAATTATGAAAAAAATGCATGAAATCCCCCAAATATCCTTCCTTACACTCATTACATATTGGCATTGGGGTGAGTAGAGGTGAAAACGTAAGTTTGACTTATTGAGACATGGGCTTGGATCCTTCAGAAAGCAGTCCCTTTGAAAATCTGAAATGACAAATCTCAGAAGTACTTTTCCTGGTTCTTGCAAAAGCCAGATAAGAGACATTTATTGCTCCTACAGGAAAGACTACATTTTGTAAATTCCAAAGACCTTCACTCTTCTCACAAACAAGGATAAATCATCTTTTGGTCCTTTTAGGTCAGTGTTGAGGAACTGCTGGTTCTCAGTGGTCAACAACCAGGAACACGTTTGGGAGCTTCTGCTTTACAGTAACTGAGAGACCTTATTTAATACTCTGTGTCAGATGTCCTCAAGTGAATCCCTCTGCCACAATACCAAAATGCTGCCACCTGATCACATCGTGACATTTTGATTTTCAGCAAAAGAAGTTTTCCCCTTTAAGAAGCACTGTTAAAGTTGGGATTCCTCTCGGTCCAGTCCTTGGTCCACTTCTCTTCTTGGTTCTTCCTAAGGCATCTCTCCAGCCTCTCTGGCCAAGAACTATTTACTTTATGGTGACTCTTAAATCCCTAACTCTGGTTTTGATCTATGATTATAATCTATAATCTGTTTTAAATTAGAAATATAAAAATATTATCAATGTTGATGTCCAAATAGAATTATGTAATGATTAGGTGGCAAAATAGTTTTGGAGTATAAAAAAGAATAAACTGTTCTTGATATCTACACATTCTCTACAGTCTAAACAGGTGGGGGAGCACAGAGATAAGTGATAGACACCAAGTAGCAGGAGTGAGAGTCCAAGGAGTACCTCTGGTTAGAGCTTGGGAGGGATAGGTCAGGTGTTTCTCTATATTTTGTGGAGCAGATGGGAGGATATCTGTGACTATGGTTCACTCCTGGCCCTCAGCCCATGTATTAGATAGAAAAACATATTACCTCTCTTCCCTCACACTTCCATAAATGAAATCAGTCATTTACAAAATTGCTTCAGCTGCTAATCTCATGAGTCTGACTGCAGTGGCTTAAACTCATAAGGATTTGTTTTTCTCTAACATAAAAGGCATCTAGAATAGTAGGCAGTCCAAGGATGATATTGCAGTGTGAGTCAGCAAGGACTCAGACTCTCTCTTCTCTTCTGTCTCAGCAGTGACTTCATTCTCATGGATGCATCATGGGTTCCATATGGCTATTAGAGCTTCTGTGTCCACATTCCAAGCAGCAAGAAGATACAAGAACAAAGAAAGGCAGAGGATGCTTTACCTATTCAATGAGTGATCTCCACTGACATCTTATTAAGCTACCCCCTACTTACAAGGGAGACAGTGCAACTTAGCATTTAACTTCAGGTCATTGCCATCCTGGAAAAACATTAGGATTTTGTTACTAATTAAGAAGGAGGAAATGGCTATTGGTTGGCAATTAGCAACCTCTACCAAAGAACAGAATTGGTTCCACTTGCCAGGAGGGAACAATTAAGAACTGAGCACTTTCCACCCCTATTTTTGCTTTCTTACTTGCTGTACCCTATCAGAGGAAGATCGATTAATCTGACAGATAAGATGGGAAAAGAGACAAGTTGGTCATGGATGGAACTGGACCCAGTCTCTTCATTACTGACCTGTTGGTATTGAATTAAGGCAAAATCTTGACAAGGACAAGCCAGAGCTGTGCTATTTCATTTCCAAGTCCTCCTCCTATATCTTATTGGGCGAAGTTAGAGTCCAAGTTCTGGGAGGGAGGTTTGAGTCCTGACATATTTCCCCAATTAACTTTGCTATTAATAAAGGTTGCAGTATTTTGATCCTCTTTTGGCTCCTTGTACTTCCTCACTAGTTAGATCTCAGAGGGAAGGAAGAATGAGTGATTACTATTGCTAAATCTCCCACATGATGGTTATCTTTGCATAAAGGACTCCTGAGGGGGTGCCTGCGTGGCTCAGTTGGTTAAGCGACTGCCTTTGGCTCAGGTCATGATCCTGGAGTCCCGGGATCGAGTCCCGCATCGGGCTCCCTGCTTGGCAGGGAGTCTGCTTCTCCCTCTGACCCTCCCCCCTCTCATGTGCTCTCTCTCTCAAAATAAAAATAAATAAAATCTTAAAAAAAAAAATAAAATAAAAGGACTCCTGGGAACCAAAGCTCTCATTTTTGTATGCTTCGAGATGCTCCCCCTTGATCTGTAGTGGGTTACTGGAAACTGTAGGGGAGGAACAAAATCCCCTCTATCCATCTTAGATTCCTTGACTTGGGCCCTAAAAATTAGAGAGACAAAAAAACAGACTAAAAAGAAAAACAGAAGTGTGTGTATTAACATGTGCACCCTACATTCATACAGGAGTTCTCAGTGATGGGTGGTTAGAACTTGGGCTTAAATAGTATCTTAAGAAAAAGAATAATAAATTTGTAGGTAAGTGGCAAGACAAAAGAAAAGGGCTTGAGCTCTAGGGGTGGCAAATTGTGGAAAAATATGGGGGAAAACTAATGGATGGTAAGGACTAGTTAGTAAGGTTTGTTATGTAATTCTGCAGGTGAGGTCTCTGTGCTGAGAAGTGTCGAGAGTTGTCTCCAGTGATTAACTTCTGTCCTTCCTGGTAGGGAGAGAAGGGGAAACACCTTTACAAATTTATGTCTTGCTTTTAGGTAAATAGAGGAAAGGCAGAGAGTTTTTCTTGTATCTACTTTTTCTTAAATTTGCCTTCAGCTCAAAATAATCCTTATGCCAAGAGTGTTGTATTTTGGAGTGGCATATTCTGCTACCCTTCAAAATCATACCAAGAACAAAGTTCCTAAGAATATACAAAATGCAACCCAAATAGGGCCATGGATAGAGGGACTCACTGAAAGCTAATAGGGACATTTGACAAGAAAAATTAGGCTAAATAATCCATAATATCACAGAGCAGTGAGAAGATTTGCTTATCTTATAAAATTTGCCCAACCATTTATGAGTTCAACAGATATTCACTAAATTCTTACTAAGTTACAGGTAAAGAGTTCAAGATTTCACTTTATGGGATCATTAGGA